TTGGAACTTGAAAAATAATGCATATCAAACATGACCTAAAAGTTAAAGTGGTTACGCGTCACCCACAATAGTATTTTGTGATTGATGATGGTTAAATCATAGGCCAATGTGGCCCCCAAATTGTCTTTCTTGCTTGCAACTTTCTAATTGCTATTATTATTATTTTAAGAATCTTCAACTTTCACATGTTTCATTTTCAAAATTGCCATCCTCCTTGCGTCTTTTCAAAGTAAAATTTGTCCATTTTGTTACTATTTACTACATATTCCCCACGCACACAAATGTCAAATAGTTGATTTTTAAATTTATCACACACTAGCACATTCATTAAATATGTATTTGTGTCATTTAACGAATATATATTAAGTCCGTGTTTGGTTCTTTTAGTACTAAATTTAGATAAGTTGATAAAAATTGTAAATCCCATGAAATATAATGATTAAAATTAATTATCGAATTTGATTTGGAATTTGAGCAACCTTTTTAATCAAATCAGACATTGGATAATTCTGATGTGATGATGACACTATACTAATGTGTTGTCTTAGAATAGCTTTTATAGCAAGAAATTTTGCACTCCATAATTCATGATAATTCCTAAAAAATGTAATAGAACAATTTGAACCCAACATTAGCTAGCTAAAAGGGCATTGATATGTGCGTTTTCTAATGTGAATTTCACTACATTACATGACTAATTGTTGACATAAATGCTTGAATATCGCTTAATTCAATAGAAATTGTGTTTATAGGACTACATTGATAGATGGAATGAAATGTATGTGAAAACGAGCGAAAATGATCAAAATGGAGGAAAACGAAAGTTCAAGGACTCAATTGCAAATACTAAAAAGTTGTGTCGATCTCACGATGAATATTTGAGAGTACTGGACATCAATTGGATGAGGAAAGAAGCCGAATGGATGAAATAGAGTCGAAGCACTATCACAAATCTACTTCCAGCCGAAAAAGTTATGCTTTGAATTTTTAGTCTTAGTTTGAGATCCATTTTTGATATAGAAGATGTTCGAATTTGAAGATTGATACTTCTGGAAGATTTGTAGACTTTTACGTAAGATTTCCAACGCATTTTGAATCAGCTTAATCGGATATTAGAAGAGAAAGATATGATCAAAATACCGAAAACAGTCCGGAGGGTAAACCATGCGATCGCCTAGACTTCAACAGGACCTTTTTCTGGCAAACTGGTTGTTCCTTGCGACCACATGGGGATACTCCTTGCGATCGCAAGGTGTGTTCTATGTGAGAAAATTTTAAGTTTCATTTTTCAATCCAATCACTTATGAAATGATATCTTGAGGCTCTATTTAACCCTAAACTCGTCCAGAATTAGGGTTTTTGCATTTTTAGGGAGAAAACACCATGGAAGAGCAAGGAGAAGGGGCAAGAACAATGGTTTCACTTCAAGATCTAAGATTCAAGCTTTAACTTCTAATTCTTTGGTGATATTTTCTTTTTATTACTTTTCTTGTTATTTTATTTTCTCTATGTTAGGCTAGACTTTTTATGTGCTAGGTGAACGATGAACATCGCATTGTGATCTTTTAATTTCTATTTTGCAATTTGACATTTAAACACGTTTGATGGTTATTGAATGATTTATATACACTTTTTGTCTCCATGATTATAGTGCACGATAATTGTGTGAGTTTAGGTTGTTTATTTTATGCATTCGAAAGAAGGGAAATAAACTCAACAAGGTATAAATCATCGTTTTGTTCATAGAGGATAGAAATATACCGATATGCATTACGTGAATCTCTAAGTGTTTACAAAACTACATGCATTCTTATATATTGCATTTGTCATAGAAATATAGTCAAATGGTATACTAGGATAGGTTCAATTCTACTCGAAAGAGATTGTTGGATAGGTTAGAAACATTGATTCTTCAAACGATTCATCGTGTTGTCAAATTGTGAAATAGGGGTTAAGAGTGAACTTTGCTTGGTGATTCGGGATCCTAGTACGCTTTTTCATACATTAATTTCTTCAACTTTTGCATTCAACCATTACTTTTGCATTTTGTTCGTCATTTTAGTTTAATTTGCATGTTAGTCATAATTTTATCATAAAATCACCACAATCATCGTCTTGAATTTAATAGATTTGATTAAGGTCAATATAATAAAAATTCACGTTAAATCAATCCTAATGGGAACGATACTCGAAATTCTTGAATTTCCACTTTATTACTTGTTAATGATCCGTACACTTGCGCTGATTTAAATCCGAAACATATTTTCGTGAACAGGCATGTCGAAACATATTACTAGGTGTCATTTCGGCTAGCCCAATGTGGCCAAACGGCCTACTTACCTGGGTGGGTCGAGACTTCAGGCAAGACAAATCAAGCCAAGTACGTCACTACATTTCTTTGCAGCCCAATTTGGCTCCCCTGAAGATGAGTCGAGTTGAGCTAGGACGAATATATTAATGTTTTGAAAAAATTTCATTAAAACATGGGGGTAACAATCTATTAGGGCAGCAAATTTATATAGCTTCTCTTTTTCGTCACCGTTCTTAATTTTCTTACGTATTTAACACTCAACTTCATATTTGTCCTATTCGACACTCATTGTTACCCATTCACTCGTTTTTGTCCACTCCAGTCATCCAAAACTAACAAAAATTACACGACGGACAAAATCTCACACGGACTAATTTCAAACGTTAAATTAGATAAGGCAGCCACCTGAAACAGATTACTACCAAATAACATTTTGACAAACCAAAACAACATTTTTCCAAAAACTCTCAACCAAAAATCAGATTTAGGGACAAAGAGGCCTAAAACTCAAGTTAACGTCTAAAACTAGTAGTCCTTGTAAGATTCTTATCCGCAGGTGTAAGGTCCATTAGTTTTGGAGGACGAAGTTGATAAAAGTGACTAATAGGGTAACAAATTGAAAGCTGAATGCTAAAGGAATAAGAAAATTAAGTTTGGGAACAAAAAAGAGCAGTCGTTCAAGTTCGGCGTTCAAACAGGTTTTCAAAGTTTTGCCACATAAACAGGTTCAATGACAAGTACATAAACAAATGCACACTTGACACATTTTTATTGGAAACAATGCATGAGGCTATTCAAATAGCTTTTTTTTCTTATTTATTAATTGTATGTACGTTAGTGTCGAATGTGGCGATGTTGACGTCACCACTATTAACATGTTTGACTAACATGAAAATGTGCTTAAAGTAGAGTTCTAAGTACATTTTAATCTTAAAGTGTAAACATTCTCTAGCTTATTATTCAACAAAATTAGACAATATAATGAAAAAAAATTAATTTATTTCTTCCGCTCCATAAAGATAGACTTGTTTTTGTTCTCACACAAATTTAAAAAATGTAATTAATATAGTTGAAAATATACATTTTTCTTAAATTTTTTCTAATATACCCATACACTAAATAACGATTTAAATAAAAGTAGTTCATTTTTGTTGATAAGATAACACATTAAATATGAGTATATTAAAAAATTAAAAAATAACTACAATTAGTAAGAAAAGTGACCTATAATTTGGAACTGACGAAAAAAGAAAGCAAGCCTATCTTTACATGATAAATAGAGTATTATTCTTTTTGAGGGCTATATATTCTCTAATGTTTTATGTGTGATTAGTTCATTAGCTGCTTAATCATATAACAAACAAAAAGATTGGGCGCATTTCGTTCGTATTTCAGTTTTGAGTTCATTTTCATTTTTTAGTTTTGAGATCTGTTTTAAGATTGTTAAAAGCGCGTTTGGTTTGTCAATTTAAAAAATATTTCTCAAAACAAAAAACTAGAAAACAAGTTTGATTTGAAAAATTGTTTTATAATATTTTATTTCATGAAATTTGATTATTTAATAAAAACAGAACAATTTTATGTTAAACGCTTGTTATTTATATTTTGAGTGTTTTCCAAATATCTATTGAAAACACAAAAATGTCAAAAATGTATTTTGAGTTATATGTTATAATTTTATCTTTGTTTTCAAGAATGCATTTTCAGATCAAATGTGTTTTAAATGTCTTGCAAAACTGAAAAAGCAAACCAAATGAACTTTTAGTTGCTTAATCACCATCTAAATATGTGTGTGTATATATAGGCAAAGACGGAGATGGGGGGGACTGACCCTCCAACATTGTCCGTTGGTCCATTATTCATATTTAATTTGTAATGTATTTTTCAATTTCGTCCCCACAAAAATTTTGATTTGACCCCACAAAATTTTGAAATTTTTTTGATCCAATAGTTACTTAAATAAATATATAGTCCAAATTCAATCAAAAAACAAATGACCTATTTATGAATTGATTACCCAAAAACAACTACCCATTTATTGACGAGTTTGAAGTGATGAGGACAAAGAGAGACTAATTTCAGATGTTCAAGTCATCTCTACCATCTGTTATATAGATAGACACTTAAATTTGTCTTTTTAACGTTCATATAACATTCATGTTTTCAATTTGTATAGTGTTAGACACATAGATNATTCATGTTTTCAATTTGTATAGCGTTAGACACATAGATAGACATATTGTTTTTGTATCGACAAAATGATTGTCTTTTTGGTCAGTCAATCTAACTTGTCTATTTTGGTACTCAAAATCGTCGTTTTCAATCCTCTTAGTTAAAAAAATTTTTCTCCCCCCTCCACCCCCTGTATTTTCGTCCCCGCAAGATTAAAATCCTGAATACGTCCCTATATATAGGTGAGTGTGTTTGCATCAGCATCTAAAGATCCAAAAAACTTATATGTCGCTCCTGTTTGGTAGAAATTAAAATAAGGTTTTTAGTAAATTTTGATAAAAGTTGATGAAATGTGTGATTAAAAAGTTGTGGGTCCCACAAAATCTATGACTTAATTTAATTTTAATTTGATTTGAGATTTTCATCCGAACCAAACAGGGCATCATACTATATATCCCAGCTGGGATCATACTTCTTGTTCATACTTTTAACTGCTAGGAAGATCCTGAAGACAACCATGAAAAGAGGCGGAAGTGGTGGTGGGCAGAGTTCCCTGGGCTACCTGTTTGGTTCTGAGGGGGAGAAGCCAAAAAACGAGGCACCGCCGCCTTCTCAAACGACTTACGCACCACCGCCTTATGGAATCGATATTAGCACTGATGAGAAACCACTGGAAAATCCGTCTCATTCTTCCCAAGACAAAACAAAGGCGATCTCCAGCGACTACATCAGAGTCCAGGGCCAGAATTCAGGAAATTTCATCACTGTATGTTATCAATTCACTCGTTTCATGTCAAGTACTAGTATTGAACAGTAAAGCCTATCCAACTAGTTTTTTTTCTTTTTAAATCGTATCTAGTATTTTTCAGTCGAGTATGATAAATTAACTTGCATCGTTATATATAATCCAGGACCGTCCATCGACAAGGGTTAAGTCTGCGCCGGGTGGAGATTCATCTCTTGGCTACCTGTTTGGAGATAAGTAATGATAATATATACACCAAAGTATATGCCTACCTGTTATATGTTATGAATAAGGGATCGTACGTAATTCTAGTCTTAGTACTTCTACTGGGATTTGAGACCTACCAGGGTATGTATATGTAGTATATGTGTGTGTGTGTGTGTGTGTGTGTTCAGGTTAGGGTTTGTAGGGTTCGCAGTATGTGTGATTTACCACCTAAATATGGGAAAAGCACTTCTGTATAAGATCTGTTTTCATAATGAAATCTTTTAAATTATTATGATTTCCGCTTATGACTAGTAAAATAAGGCTTCCCAAATCTGGTGCATTATGCCTTGAAATAATTTGGCCATTTGCATTCTGATCCTGATGTTATGCACTTCTGATCCCTCCCATGATGCTAAATTTACACTATATGATGCTTAAATATGAAAACAGTAACCGACATATAAAAACTTAGATTACTCACCCTAACAATGTTTGCCTATTCGTATCATTAATTTTTGTCTGTATATATTTGTTGTGTACGCTTGATGCTAACACGGAGCGTGTTCCTAGCCTTTGGATTGAGATCAACATGTGGGATCCTTTAAGATATTCTCAATCTCCTTTCTACGCAGTCAGTTGTACAGCTACTCTTTGTCTCCCATTCTTCATATGATATTCTCTTTAAAGATCATCTCTCTTCCTTTTTTTTTTTTTTGACTCTAAACGAGATTTCTTGAGTGCTTACTATAATATTGGGGAGATTAGCTTATAATTTGGTCTTGGTAAACAGTAATTGATGTTAACCTGTGGTATTTGGGTGATTAGAAGTGTGAGGGTTTATTGTTGTGAGTCTTGTGCGAGAAAATGAGATACTTGGTGTATCTCTATCTATTATAACTTTTTTTGGACTTGTGCTACTGAATTTGAGCATGAAACACTTCGGTGGATGTGGAATGTAGTAGGCTCTCTTAGAGATGAACACCTGGTCCTGTACGGCCAAAAACCCCAATCTTCTTGACTGTTTTCGTTTGATTGAATATGTTTGGTGCTGGTTTGGTCACAAACTAGGACCAACAGTGGTATCAGAGTGATATTGAGGATCTAATAAAGCATTGGTCGGTGATTTGGAGTACCATGGTGGGAAAAATCTCTTATATGTTCAGATATAAGTAATATTCTTGGTGAATAATGAACGATTTGTTCATGCTTCTAGTTTACTTGGGTAATATTGACTTGAGTTGAGCAATAATCCAGTAATTTCTTTCCCTTTTTTTTTTATAGACTCACTTGTTAAGTTGTAATTGTTATTTTTTTTTCCTACAGTAAACCTTATTTTAACTTCTTCTAGGGTTTCATACGAGAACCCTAGAATTTGAGGGAAATGGATTTTGGATTTAGTTGAACTCTATTGATTGCCTACTTTGTGTGGAATTATGTAATCTGTTGGTATATTTATGCAAGAATTTCTGTTATATGAAGAATTCTTCTGATAATACTAAAGAAAAGAATAAGGGTAAAAATAAAGCTAAGGGCAAGAAGTGTTATTCTGTAGAAAATCGGGACAATTCATAAAAACTGTAATAAAAAATTGCTGAAATGAAAAATAAACAAAACGATAGGAGGCTACAAAGTCATAATTAGTAGAAATGGTTTATTTAATGAGTTACATATGCCAAGTCTAAATAAAAGTTGCAGAAATCAGTAGTCAGCAAAAGGTAACTGAGTTAGAAGGAGGGCATTTTCAAAGAGATTATCAACTAGCTAGGCTACCTATCAGGTTCGATGAGCAAGCGTGCTTTGTGACTGCATGTTCAGTTCAAGACTTCCTTGGATTTGAAATTAGTTCATATGAAGCAGCAACAGCGAGTAAAATGTCCAAACAATGGCTTGCAGCAATCAGGGGCGGAGCCAGGATTTAATAGTACGGGGGACAAAAATTTTCAACAGTGGACTACTGGGCTTGAACGGTGGAAAAACAATGGGTATAACAAAAAAAAAAAAATTTTTTAAGGAGGTGGGCATGGACAAGGGCCACCCCTACCTCCGCCAGTGGCAGCAATGGAAGATGAGATGAATTCACTAAAAAGGAATTGGACATGGATTGAAAAACCCAACAAATCGAAACTTACAGATTGCAAGTTCATATATAAAATTAAGGAAAGGGAAGCTAAGGAGAGTGATATATATGAGACTTAAGGCAAGACTAATTGTGAAATGATTTACTCAAAGAGAAAGTATTGACTACAATTTGATATTCTCCGGTGTAGTCAAATAAACTTATATTAGAATATTGTTAGCGTTACCGACACAATTTGACTTAAATTGATCAATTAGAAGTAAAATTCTTAAATGATCGTTTGGATGAAAAAACTTATACGACTCAACCAAACAGCTTTGAACAAAAAGGAAAATATGAACTTGCGTGTTTACTAAATAAGTTGAAGCAAACTCCTAGACAATGATTAAGAGGTTTGACTCTTGTATTAGAAGCCTAACCTTAATATGGGTCATTATGAATCCTGATTCTATTACGAAGAATCAGGTGGAGCTTAGTCTTGTTATACAATATGTAGATTACATGTTATTATCAAGTCATGATTTTAAGAAATTTTAGTTAATTAAACAAAAGTTAAGATATGAATTTGAAATGGAAGACTTGTGACGAATTAGAAGAATCTAAGGAATAGAAATAAGGAGAAATAGAAGGGAAAGTAGATTCGTTTTTATAACAAGAATCATATATCACAAAAGTAATTAAATCATTTTCCATGTTTGATGCTAAGCTGCTACATTACCTTTAGCAAATCACTAATATATTATGGTTTATAATAATCAGATTTACTCTATGCCATTAGAATATTGAGCACGCATATGGGAAACCCAGTTGAATGACACTGGAATTCTATGAAATGGTCAATAACTTAATGGTACATTAGACTTGGGGCTTGAGTTTTGGAAGTATAAAAGGGATTATTACTTAAAGGCTTCGTTGATTCTTATTTGTGAGAGGAAATATTTGCTAGAATTGTTTACAGATTCATTGATGTTTATTCATTCTTTTCTTAATCTTATTGCATTACAATAATAATATCTAGCTTCAGAATTACTAATCACCAGTCTATATGGCACAAAGTCAATGTATTGAATTTGTTAAAAGTTGTAATTTATTTAATTTAACCAATTGAATGCAATAATGAACCTTAGCGCACATTGATTGTTGCTGATTGCGCTCAAAGAATAACGATGTAGTTGTAGTATAGTTTTGGGCCGTCAATTCCATATGGAGATAGTTAAAAATACTTGAAGGATCCGAAAGATGAATGTTTTTTTAAATGTGTGAAAAAAAAAAATTTTATTTGCTTGAATGAAAAGAAAACCAAAGTTTGAAATAGGGAAGCGTTAGAATCCCCTCAATTGGATTGTATCATTTAACATAAATGGTTTATTCTTATAAATCAATTAGAGATGCTCAATCTTATTTCTCTAATCAAAAGAAATATCATTAAAATCAATTTAATTCGATTGTAATTCTAAAGATTAACTCTGTTGCCATAACATTCATACTTTTGTTTACTAGATAAAATTCAAAAACAACCATATACTTAAAGCATAAAGTAGCAATGAATCACACCAGTAAAAATAGATAAATGAGATTAAAATTTAAACGAGTATTTTAATTATTCAATAGAGAAAGCATAATTGAATCTATGAACAATTTAATAAAAGTTTAGCTAATCTCAAAATCATTACAATATAAAAGAGCCAAAAGAAAATTATTGTTCAAAGGACACGTGTTTCTTATTCATGTCATCGACATCAATATATTTTTTTCCTGAAATTTTCACGCATCTCCTCATCTTCACGCAACCCGTCACATCTTCCATTTTCACACACAATTAACTTCATCCATACTGCTCCCATCATTCATCAATTCCACCTCAATTAATTCACTTTCATGATCTTTAGATGGTGTTTGGTGTAGATTAAAATCAGATTTTAAGTTGATTATGATATAAATTTTTGAAATGTGTGGTTGAAAAAATGTGGGACCCATGAAAAATGTGGTTGATATTGATTGTTTAACTTTGACTTAGATTAAAATCTGGCCCAAACAGACCCACAGTTCAATAATCCAAATACCAAATTGTTGTTCATCTACATTTGATCAGAGTTGTGAAGATCAAGGAAGTTTGACTGGAGTTCTAGTCTGAAGAACGCAGTGTTCTTCGTGAATGTACAGGAGATAAACGATTTCACAAAATTAGGAGTTGCTGTAGGATAACAGAATCCAAAAGAGCTATTGAAATTGCAGTCTGGAGATCAGATAGTACACGTCGTCATCTAGGCTGGTAGACTGTGAGTTACATATCGTTTATAGTGGATTGTTGAATGGCAAAGTGCTCAAAGTTTTTTCCAATTGGGTTTCTCCATGAACAGTTCTTGTATTCTTTACTACTTCATTATTTATTATTTTATGATATGCAAACTGACGTAATTCAACATTGGATAATTTGACTTGCATGATTAACCATCTAGATGAGAATTAAAAGTGACTTGTTGTTGTTTAATTTGTGATGGATTTTAATTCCGCATAAAATACATATTCACCCCCTCTAGGTATTGTTAGGGCCGAACTTGAGTTTTTCATAAATGATACCCACATTCTAACAATTTTAATACCTCATTTTTCACCACTTCTTTCATTGTGGGTTTAACCTATGTTGTGGGTCTCTTTTAGAACCAAATTAAAGGACTATTACCCTTAATATCAGCTATGGTCCAACCTAATGCAAATTTATGCTCATTCAGGATATTTAAAAGATGCTTACATAATAATGCATTCAATTCTGAAGATATAATTATAGGGAAAGTATCACCTTCCAAGAAACACGTGTTTCAGTCCTGGGGATAGCGTTTTCAACTCTGATTTGGGACTCTTAGGGCCTGTTCTCTTTGGTGTTTTCGGGCCGTTTTCTGTTTTCAATTTTCCAAAACGGGGAAAACGCGTTCTCTTTCCCATTTTCCAAAACGAATTTTTGAAAACAGGTAAAATTTTTGTACACAAAATAGAAAACGGCCAAAACATCGTTTTGGCCGTTGATGTTTTGGCCGTTTTCAGGCCAAAACCACCCAAATTCAGAAAACACGACAAACGCCCATTTCTTCTTCTTCTTCCATTGTGCGTGCGTGAGAGACAACAGACAAACCCACCGCCTTCTTCCTCAACAATCGATCGAGACACCACTACCATTCGATCCCCCTCACCTCCCTCTTCAACCTCTTGTCATTACCTAGCCATGGAGTTGCAGAAAACAGCCCCAATCACCACCCAAAACCGCGCTACCATTCTCGATTTTTGCAGTATTTCCACCGCCGTCGGCCACCGTTTCGATCGGGGAAGACCACCACTCTACTCCTCTCAACCAGGCGCACCGACTACCACCATAGGTCACCTGCAATTTTGGCCAGAATCGAGTGAGCTTGTGAAATTGGATTTCGACTGATGAATCGAGGTGAGGTTCAATACTCTACATATACTTATGTAAGTTAAGATGAAATTGGAATTAGTTATTTGGGGGATGATTAGAATTGGAATCGGTTGTTTATGGCTTTTTCGATTTTGGTTGTGTTGATTGGTTTCGACCAATTGATTGGCGATGGTAGGCAGTGGCGGTGGTGACTGGCGGTGGTGATTGGTTGATTGCAGTGGTGGTTGTGTATGCAGTGGCGATGGTAGGCAGTGGCAGTGGTGACTGGTTGACTGGCGATGGTGGTTTTGGTAGGCAGTGGCGATGGTAGGCAATGGTGGTGCTTAGATGTTTGATTGTTTTCTATCTTTGATGCTAAAACTCATTTGCATAGAGAATTCTATTTATTTATAGTTATGATCTTGTTTGAATGCATTGGAATACTGGTTCTATTTCCTGGTTTTGGTAGGCAGTGGCAATGGTAGGCAATGGTGGTTTGTTGTTTACTGGTTCTATTTCCTATCTATGACGTGATAAGGTTTGTTGTTTACTGTAATCCTATGGCATCATTGAAGTGATTAATTGCTCTGCAACAACTGGATTGGATATGCTAAGCAAACACTACAATGATGCCATTGGATTTAACATAGTGTTCTTCTTGGTCGAGGAGGAGGTTGAGCAACTGATTTATTCTTGGATGGTCTATCTTTGTGTGTTTGTGTAATGAGAAATTGGGCATGTATGAAATTTACTTTGCACGGGCTGCTGAAATTTTTGTCTTTGCCTGTTTAATGTTGATCTTTCTTATGGAAAGAAATTTATGTTTACAGAGCTACATGGGGGCAGTTGCCCTTGGATTGTGGGAAGACTCATTCCTACAATTGTTATGTTAATCAAGATGGGAGTTTACAGTTAAAGGTTTGTATCAATCTTATTTAAATTTATGTGGAGTCATTTGAGTTGTTTCTTTACTCCTTGACAAACTTTATGCTAAGTCACAAAGACAGTTTCTGTTATCTTTCATTAGTAATCAATATGACTCCACCGAGCATGCATATCATATCAGATATTGTCCCAGCACAGGAATTTACACAAAAATTTCTTTCTTATCAGGGTCCATATTTGAGAGTGCCCAATACTCACATGCAAAGGTCATTAGGAGAGCATAATGTTATGACTGTCAAGTTTATGATTAGGAGTGTTGTTCTCTTCACAATTCTGTGAGTAAAATGTGTTCAGTGTTAGAGGACCAGTTTTCTAGGATGTATACTGCTAATCATTTGTTGTTGATCAAGGATTATGTGAGTTTGCTTGGTGTCACTATGCGTAGATATGGGTTCCCCATTGTTGCTTTGCTTGATGTATTGAGCAAGCATAGAGACAAGTATCATGAATTGCTGTTGTCTGATTGTCGTAAGCAGATTGCTGAGGCACTTGCAGCTGATAAGTTTGAGCAGATGTATATGAAGAAGGAGTACGAGTATTCAATGAATGTTCTTTCATTTCAATTACAGACGTCAAATATCATGCCTGCATTTCCATTTGTGGCACCATTTTCGTCTACAGTCCCCGACTGTTGTAGAATTGTTCGATCATTTATTGAGGATTCCGTGAGTTTCATGTCACACGGTGGGCAGTTTGAGTTTTATGATGTAATCAAGAAGTACTTAGACAGGCTGTTGACTGAGGTCTTGGATGGGGCTTTATTGAGAGTTATTAACGGTTCTATGAGTGGTGTTACTCAGGCTATGCAGATGGCTGCAAATATGGCAGTGTTTGAGCGTGCTTGTGATTTCTTCTTTCGGCATGCTGCACAGCTTTCAGGAATTCCTTTGAGGATGGCAGAAAGAGGCAGGAGGCAGTTTCCTCTGACCAAAGCTCGTGATGCGGCTGAAGAGATGCTATCTGGATTGCTAAAGCAAAAGGTTGATGGCTTTCTATCATTGATTGAGAATGTGAACTGGATGGCTGATGAACCTCTGCAGGGTGGGAATGAGTATGTGAATGAAGTTATAATCTTCTTGGAAACATTGGTTTCTACTGCTCAGCAGATTCTGCCGGTTCAGGTTCTTAGGAGGATTTTGCAAGATGTCCTTTCTCACATATCAGAGATGATTGTTGGGGCTTTACTTGGGGAATCAGTTAAAAGGTTCAATGTGAATGCTGTGATGGGGCTTGATGTGGATATTCGACTGTTGGAATCATTTGCTGAGAATGAAGCTCCTCTTTTAACTGAGGCAGATGCAAATCAGCTGAAATCAGCACTTGTTGAGTCGAGGCATATATCGTTTGTAGATGATTTAAGTTGAGAGATTCATAAATTTGGATTTACATCTATCCTTGTATTCTAGTGTAATTGTGCTTATTTTTTGTTAATTTTACTTTGTGAAATATTGAAACTTGAACTCTGGTTTGAAAAGATATGTTGCAATAGACCAATGTTAATACATCATTGCATTTTCTAAAGTCTGTGTGCTTCAAAAGCATTTTTACTTGTAAGTGGTTTATCTATAATCAAGAAGTAATGTTATCTACTAACACTAATGATAGTCATCGTGTTTAAACGATTAAAATTGTATTTGACAATAATTGTGAAAACTAACATGAACTCGATAAGATTGATTTCAAAATATTTATTACCATGTCAACATGAGATCAGTGCTCCCCTTTTTGCAACTTGATTAGGTTTGATTGTGACTTGATGCTAATTAATTTTAGTCACAAATTATCTATAAGGAAAAAAATATTTCAAAATTCACCAACTTCAAAATTTATATGTTATTTAATATTATATTAACATTAAACAATTAAAATTTATTGAATAATCAGTTTTTTTGAATAAAATATTCTTAAAAAAAATTCTCAAAATTTCAAAGTAAACGCGTTTTCCATTTTTATGTTTTCGGAAACAGTTTTTCAGAATGGGAAAGAGAACGCATTTTCAGAAATCTCAAAACAGACACTCAAAACACAAAATACAAAACGAATTCAAAACTCAAAACACAAAACTGAAACACAAAGAGAACGACACCTTAATGTTTGATGGTTGTTGTTCTCCATTTCTTTCTGGCATTTTTTCAAACTTGGGCTGCCATGATGTCCCATAATCTTAGAAATTTTGCAAAAACAACACAGATGTTAGCATATTCCTCATTATCATAACTTGTTGAAATTTTAGAATTTAAGAGAAAGAATTCAGTAGGTCAAAATCAGCAGCTATAGGCACTACCTCCTAATTGAGGGCATCAATCACGTATGTTTGATAGCACTCATCATCCTCTTTAGGATGTTTAGTGATGTGAAAAATGTTAACTTCTAAAGTCATGTTTCCAAAAGTTAACTTCATTATACCATTCCTGCAATTTATAAAAGCATTAGCTGTGGCAAGAAAAAGTCTACCAATAGGGTAGTAAAATTTATCAATTTATACTAAAACATCCCCAACTACTCCTCTTGGTCTTATAATGGACCGATCAGCCAATCATAAAACTAAAGATGTAAGTTTTATCTCACCTAAACCTAACAAAAAGTAAATAGTATAAGGCATGGGGGTAATACTAGCCACTAAATCAAGAAAGGTTTGTGCAAACTCATGGCTCCCAATGATGCAAGAAATGGTAGGACAATCAAGGTCCTTATATTTTGGTGGGATCCTTTGCTCAATCAATGCACTCGTTTGCTTAGTCAAGAAATCAGTTTTCTTGACATGATGTTTCCTATTCACAGTACACAAGTCTTTGAGAACTTTAGCATATATAGGAACTTGGGCAATCACATGCAAGAGATGTAGATTAATTTTTACTTGCTTGAGGTGTTCTAGGATATCATTATGTTGACTAGTAACTTTCAAGTTAGGCTTGAGAACTTAAGGGAAAGGCACTCTAGCTAGATTTTTCACTGCCTCTTTACTAGGACTTCTCTTTTCAGAATTACTAGAGTCATTTTCATTTTACTTAGATTTGGGATTTGTTCTATAACCTTCCCAATTCGAGTGGTGATGACATTTACTTCCTTAAGGTCATTTTCTTTTGAACCTAAGGTATGTGCCATGTGTTGTCCCTTAGGATTTGGTTGAGCTTGAATTGGGAATTTTCCACGTTCCATTATCGTTAAAGCATTGGTCAATTTAGACATATGATTTTTCATCTCTTTGTTTTCGTCAACAGCTTAAATAATCGTAGTCTCAAACTTCTAATTAGTCTTACCTTGTCAATCTATAAATGCATGTAAAGTATCTTCTAAAGAGTTCTTAGTAGATGTGGGTTGATATGAAGGTGTAGTGTAAGCTCTGGTTTTCAGACAAGTTGCTGGTTTTCAGATTTCCAACTGAAATTAGAGTGATTTCGCTACCCCTGATTGTAGGAATCAGAAAAATGAGCATATGCTTCTTGTACATACCTAAAACATCACAAAATTCTTCATAAACATCTCAGCTAGAGTGGTACACTCTTACGATGAATGATCAATTCCACCACACACAAAACAAAGTCCAAAGGACTCAATACGAGTAACAATATGTGTAAGCTTTGAGTCCTTAGCACGTAGGGTTTCAAGTTTTCTAGTAAGGGCTTCTACCTTGGCTCTGAGGCTATCCTCCTCCCTAAGATGATAAATAGCTGTGCTAGAAGAGTTTACTATGAGTCGTGACTTTTTAATGCTATCGAAGTTCTAGGTCCAGTTCAGGTGTGAGCTTTTTCAGCGAGGTCATCTAAGTACTCTATGACCTTATATGGGTCTTTTTATAATAACTCACCATTACACATCATCTCAACAAACTGACGCTCTCTAGGTAACAACCCCTCATAAAAATAACTCACAACGCGCCAACTTTCATAACCATGGTGCGGACAGAGAGCTAACTCACCATTACACATCATCTCAACAAATTGACACTCCCTAGGTGTCAGTCCTTCATAAAAAAACTCACAATACGCCAACTTTCATAACCATGGTAGGGGCAAATGGCTTGTAATTCTTTATATATTTCCCATGCTTGGTATAAGGTCTCACTATCGTTTTTAGCAAATGAAGAAATTTGCTTCTTCAGGGTGTTAGTATTATGATGGGGAAAGTATTTGCTGAAAAATATTTGAGTCATTTCACCCTATGCTATAGTCGAACATGGTCTCAGTGAATACAACCAGCTTTTTGCTCTTTCTTTAAATGAAAATGAAAAAAATTTAAGCCCGACTACATCCATTGTATCATGTTGACTGTGGAAGGTTGCAACCACCCCCCTCAAACTCTCTAATATGCATATATAGGTTTTCACTTTTAAATCTGTGAAAAGTGGGAAGAAGTTGAATCATTCCCCGATTTAAGGTTCGTACGTGACATATTAGGGGGAAAAATAATGCATGATGGTATGGATGTGCGTGTGGGATAAAGATAATCCTAAAGAGTTCTATAGGGTGAATATTCATGCTCACTTTCACTTATGGTGTTGTGTGATGTGGTGTCAGTGTTAATAGATACAGTATCGAAAATAAGGTTAAAGATATTCAAACATTGTATAGGATCTATCAACAAATTTTCCTTGCTCATCTCGATACCTACTCATAAAATACAAAAGCGAAATAATGTGAGAATAAAGAATAATAATAATAATAAATAAAATAAATTAACTAAAGAACAATAAATGAACGGAGTAACCCTTTTACAATTAAATTCCTTAATTTCTTGTATTGTTTCCTTGGCAACAGTGCCAAAATTTGATTACACCCAAATAATAATACTGTAGTTGTAACACAACTTTGGGAGTGACAATTCCACAAAGAGATAGTTAAAAATACTTCAAGGATCCAAAAGGTGAAAGCTCTTTTGAATGTGTGAAGATAATTTATTGGTTTGAATGAAAATAAAATGAAGGTTCGAAATAGCAAAGCGTCAGAATTCCCTTAATTGGATTTGATCATTCAACATCAATAATTTATTCTATTAACTTAATTGAAGATGCTCAATCTAATTTCTCTAATCGGAGGAAATGTCATTAAAATCAGTTTAATTCAATTGTAATTCTAAAGATTAACTTTCCTACCATAGCATTCATACTTTTCTTTGCTAGAATAAAATTCAAATGATTTCTATTCACTTTTTGACATTTTAGCATAGTAATTTAGTGTTTAAAGTACACTTTCGTGCGCTTATCAGGGGCTTAGCATTTATGGGGGCCAAATAACATTACTCTTTAACTTTATATGTTAAATGAATAGCCACGGGATGATTTTTCAAACAACTATGAGAATTTGAACTTTTAGATCAAAAAATAACAAGGAAAACTAAATTTGGATCATTAGTTAAATGAATGTGATACATTAAATAGATAGAAAGGCTACTTAACTAGTATATTCTTTTCTTTTAGTTTTTT